GTTGATGAATCTTTCGTCAAATCTGTGTTGAACAATATTGCAAATAAAATATGTGTAACAAAAAACAAAACTTTACATGTATCTTGAATTATCGAAAAAGTAAATTGGTTCATAAAGAAACCCTCAAATTATGACGTATATACACATCACGGACCTGGATGTCTTATCTAATTCCGGGTGTTTATTTACCATTTTTGCAATTACATTCGTTCCGTTTAATCTTGCTGCTTTCAAATTGTAAAATAATTCATAACCATATATCTTGGTGATAAAATTAAGCCAATCAGAATAAAAGATTTCAAAAGACGGAAAGAGCCGAGATGAGCATGGTGGTTGTTACCATGGAGAGGAAATATCAATTCCGGCTGACACAAATAGTCTTCGACTGAAAACAAAAGCACGCAATAAAGTATAGCGACTACAGAACATGCGTCATTTATAATCGCGTAGAAGAGTTCCAATCCTTCCTTCTTTATAGAACATGAAGCAGCCGAAAGGAAAGTTTTCCCGTCTAAGAGTAGCTCCCCCAGTCAGTATTTGAATATGCTTTGCGGCCCAAAAGTTGGATACGCATTTTTTCAGTGGCTGATCCAGAGTTTTTTTGGGGGTTTCAGGATACTCCGCCAAGCCTGAGAATTTTCTTTAAAATTCATATAATTTCACCATTTTCCTCAATTTTCAATTTTTCCTCACAATTCTGATGATGTAGACTTCTTATTGGATGTAAGTAAAACGAATAATAATACGCTCCATACCGTTTTACAGCAGACATCAGACATAAATCTCTATTTTAAACAAACAAAAAAACAAAACATGCAAGTAAATAATTAAATGAAATATGATTGTCTTTTATTTTTAGAAATTATAATATGATAAAAAGCAGTTATTACACGTTCGAAATTAGTGGAAAATTTGATGATTATACTTGGATTGCTTCATTATCTTCCAAAGTTAAGAACAACTTTCATTTATGGTTATGTTGACATACGTTTATTGTTTCTTCCATTTATGCCGTGACGTGTTAGGAATGGCTGGGTTAGCGCCTAGTACTTACTGACAGTTATGGGTTTTTTCACCTGTCAAGCAAAACGTTAAGTACTATATCAGGAAAACATTAGAATATGCGTTACTTAATAAAGACTTTGCTTTGTATTTGTATTAACGTAATACATTAGTATATCACCATGACCGAACTCAGTGCCCGTCCCCCGGGGGCGCGTCACGTGACTAATTCGTCGTACTAATATCACGCTGTCACAGGTAGGGTTAAGTGTTTTGGTAGGTTGATCACGTGATAAAACTATGAGTACACAACACATATAATAATGATTACATTTGATTTGTGGTTTATTGATATAATATATGAGGTTTATGTAGCTTATGTACAACACCTACAAGATTGACAAGGTAGCAATGTTAGTTTTACAATGTGTCTGTAAATTGTTTGACACCCAAGGACTACTGCATTGATTCTCCTCTGCATCATTGCAGTGTCTGCCCCTGCATTTAATTATCATATCTATACCGATCAGCTTAAAAACTTGAAGTTGATAAAGAATTTGAATCTGAGAAACAAGAAACAAGCTGAAAGAATTCAAATTTCGAGTCGTGTGTCAAGTTAATATTAGCTCTGTAGAATTATACAGTCAAACCTGTATTAAGAGACTATACAGTCAAACCTGTACTAAGAGACTATACAGTCAAACCCGTACTAACAGACTATACCGTCAAACCTGTACTAAGAGTCTATACAGTCAAACCTGTGCTAACAGACCATACAGTTAAACCTGTACTAAGAGATTATACTGTCAAACCTGTACTAAAAGACTATACAGTCAAACTTGTACTAACAGACCATAAAGTCAAACCTGTACTAATAGACTATACAGTCAAACTTGTACTAACAGACCATAAAGTCAAACCTGTACTAATAGACTATACAGTCAAACTTGTACTAACAGACCATAAAGTCAAACCTGTACTAAAAGACTATACTGTCAAACCTGTACTAAAAGACTATCCAGTCAAACCTGTACTAGCAGTGTTTAGGTTTGTGTGTGTAGTTTCTAGCAGTGTTTAGGATTTACGGTATGCCAGTACCAAAAGGAAAACCCTCGTGTAGTGATATTGGTAAAGTATGCTAAACCTGTTGTCTCACCCTTTAGCTACAGACATGATAAGATTCCGCTTTTAATTTTTGGACTTCCAAAGGTGGTATCTTAGTACAGGTTTGACGGGATAGTCTCTTAGTACAGGCTTGACTGTATAGTCTCTTAGGACAGGTTTGACTGTATGGACTGTTAGTACCGGTTTGACTGTATGGTCTGTGAGTACAGGTTTGACTGTGTGGTCTGTTAGTACAGGTTAGACTGTATAGTCTGTTAATACAGGTTTGACTGTATGATCTGTTAGTACAGGTTTGATTGTATAGTCTGTTAGTACGGGTTTGACTGTATAGTCCCTTAGTACAGGTTTGACCGTATAGTCTCTTAGTACGGGTTTGACTGTATAGTCTCTTAATACAGTTTTGACTGTATAGTCTCCTAGCACAGGTTTGACTGTATAGACTGTTAGTATAGGTTTGACTGTATAGTCGGTTAGTACAGGTTTGACTGCATAGTCTGTTAGTACAGTCAAACCTGTACTCACAGACCATACAGTCAATCCTGTACTAACAGACCACACAGTCAAACCTGTACTCACAGACCATACAGTCAATCCTGTACTAAGAGGCTATACAGTCAAACCTGCACTAACAGACTATACAGCCAACCCTGTACTAACAGACTATGCAGTCAAACCTGTACTACGAGACTATACAGTCAAACTTGTACTAACAGACCATAAAGTCAAACCTGTACTAATAGACTATACAGTCAAACTTGTACTAACAGACTATTAGCTCTGTAGAATTATACAGTAAAACCTGTACTAACAGCCTATACGGTCAAACCTGTACTAACCGACCATACAGTCAAACCCGTACTAACAGACTATACCGTCAAACCTGTACAAACAGACTATACAGTCAGACCTGTACTAACAGACTCTGCAGTCAAACCTGTACTAATAGACTATACAGTCAAACTTGTACTAACAGACCATAAAGTCAAACCTGTACTAACCGACCATACAGTCAAACCCGTACTAACAGACCTTACAGTCAAACCTGTACCAACAGACCATACAGTCAATCCTGTACTAAGAGGCTATACAGTCAAACCTGAACTAACAGTCTATACAGTCAAACCTGAACTAACAGACTATACAGAGCTCTGTAGAATTATACAGTAAAACCTGTACTAACAACCTATACAGTCAAACCTGCACTAACAGACTATACAGAGCTCTGTAGAATTATACAGTAAAACCTGTACTAAGAGACTATACAGTCAAACCTGTACTAAGAGACCACCTTTGGAAGTCCAAAAATTAAAAGCGGTATCTTATCATGTCTGTAGCTAAAGGGTGAGACAACAGGTTTAGCATACTTTACCAATATCACTACACGAGGGTTTTCCTTTTGGTACTGGCATACCGTAAATAAGCACCCAACCTACTTAATGTTTTAACACTTTTACATGACAACAATTCGATTAACTCATACACATCGGCATGACCCCTTTCTAATATATGTGCTTCATAGTTCAGAATTCAGGACGATCAATTATAATTTTTTTTTCATCCTCAATATAATTTTTTATTACAAGCTGAATATATGCCATACATTTTTGACCTCTCAAAACCCTATTATAACGTCCAGATTCAATGTTAAGAGTATGTGACTGCGTGCGATATTGACTCAACAATGGTAAGATAGTTAATGCGCAAAATATCTCAGTCACAGCTTCATGCTAAACAAATTAAAGAAATAACAAAAGATATTATCTTTTCGGCTAGAAGTAACTTACCTAACCGGTCACATCAATTAATCAATAATTATATTTAGCTTTTTACAATTGGTACAACAATAGTCTATTACAAACTTGAAGTGTTTTTTATTTGTTGATTTTTTTCACTTAATTTCAAATCAAGTGTAACATAAGGTATTGCAGTACTGGAGTTCCAATACAACGATTACATTTTTTACATAAATTAAAAGCAATATTTAGATTTATTATCTTTATGGTATTAAAAGTAACCACCTAACAGGTCGCACCAAGCAACCAATCAATCAACATTTCATGTACGTTTAATAAAAATAAATAAAAAATATATCGCCATTTCTTAATATTTGTACAACTATACTCGATTATAAGTTTCAAGTATGTTGTTATTTACCTCAGACATACTTTTGTGTAAAATGAATTATCGTGAAATATTTCAGAATTCAAAAGTACGTGTACCATATTTTTTACATTTCCAATAATATCCTGGAATAGTGAGCTACGCTAATTATGCATAATCAGGCTCTGCTATATTCGTACTACTTTATTTACAATGTGTTAGCTCGAGTTGCATTCGTTCTCTCATTATTAAACAGATTTTTTAACTTTGTGTATTGAAATCGGTCATCTTTGCTACAAATATTTAAAAGCAATAATATACATTAGGTGTAAAATTGCATTTTTTTCTTCTCTCAATTAGGTTGGACCGTAACAAACTTAATGTTAGTGAAATTGTGTGTGTTTACTGTCAGTTTAACCTTTTCGTTACTGTGATTAGCAGCATTAAAACCTCTATTATCCCCTTAACGATCATCGATCATCGATCATAGTGTGTTTGAAATCCCAATTATAGCTCTATGCGGTCGGTCTGTCACATACATTACCGCCAGCTTGACTAAAAGTGGGCGTGTCTTCCACCTATGGTGGGCGGGGCCTATATGAGGGCGGGCGAAGAGCGATCCCAGGGAATCAGTAATTGACAGCTCTCTGGCCGCTGTACCGTGGCTATCGATTTCTTTCCTAATCCCTTTGCCTATTTATTGATATTCAATTGGCTAATTTAGTCATGTGACGTATCCTTTATCGCATTATTTCCGATACAGAATATACAGCTCTAAATGGACAGAAAGATAGCTATTATATTCATGATCGGTTATAATTGTGTCTCGTGTCCCAAAAGTCAACACTTTCAATAATTTCCTTAAAGGGAGCTGATGGTTATTTGATGTGATAAGATTTATATCTTCTCTAGAACGCTATACGGTTGCATTTATCTTATCAAGACGATGGATCAGGCTGCAGACATTTATTACGTATTGTTTAACAACGGGACTGACAATCAAAGGTAATTAATTACCCACTGGACATTTAACTCACTGGGATTATTGGGATATCAACAGAAACATATCCGAAGTCATAATTTAATTATTTTGACTGAAAAAATATTATTACACAGTGAAGTGCTATAGGCTGTTGATAAACTGATACATATCACGAGGATTGAAAGCTGTGCGATACTACAAGTTGAACTCATCAGATTATTAAGATGTTTCCTAATTTGATAAGCCCGTCGCCTCTCTACCACACATTTTTTCGGACGGCACATTTAGCAGGACAGCCCAATGCTACTGCTGCTTCAGCCTCGTTTCTTGTGGAGAACCTTTTAAGAGACAGAAGTCATGCCCTGTTATCAAGAAACGGTCCGGGGAGTACGGGAATGGTTCCCCACCCTGGGACAGGACAGAGTCAGGACGAACACATTGCACCCTCGTCAATCGGTGGTCAAAACCCGACCCCGTATCTTAAGTTCGGCGTGAACGCTATACTTGGATCCGGAAGTGAGCAGACGTCAAAAATCAGTAAGTGTTGTTAATTGAAATTTTAAGTTTACGAAAAATGTTTTTTTTTAGCGTTTTATGATGTAATTAACCTGTTAACATGAAATCAATTAAGATAAAAAAAAACACACAAACAATAACAAATAGCATATTTACCACTATGATAGAACATCACACTAGATGTTATAATTGACAACTACACTACCTGTATATATTGACTACTACACTACCTGTATAGATTGACAACAACACTACCTGTATAACTTGACAACTACAATACCTGTATAACTTGACAACTACAATACCTGTATAAATTGACAACTACAACAAGTGTATAATTTGACAACTATGACAGTACCAGTACCAATTACAACACAATCTGTTGACAGCTACATTATCTGTTTACAAATTTAATTATTAAATATTTTTATATTGACAACTAAATTGTTTGCATCAGTTGACACTTACACTTTCGATATCAACTGAAATCTACGCTATGTATATTAATTGACAATTATATTGAAATTTACACTATTTGCATCAATAGTTTGCGTCAACTGAAATACTCGATTTGAATCAATTGATTTTTTTTTTACCTTAGCAAGTATGTTTTCCAAATGAGCTATATCTAAGCGAGAGGCGAACATGTTAAACTTGCAGAGAGAAATATTGTTACTTTAAAGTTGTATGGTCACAAGTTATCACTTTTTATGACTTAGAACAAAAACACGACAAGTTCGTAATCAATTATATGAATATTGTACATTTATTGAACATTCAGATAATGATATACTTGTAACACATTCGGTGTTAGGGAGTACCCGGAATGATTATCAGTGTTCGTTTTGTTAACTAAAACCGCCATGTTACTACGGCTGTACCTATATTCCACAGCCATGCTAATGAGCAGAAGATACGGTTACTAAATGGGACGCATGTACCTTTTACAAAAAAGTATCAGTGATGGGAATAAAATGTTGAGACCAACCATTTCCACAGCATCGGTCCCAGATAAAACTCTCTCTTACGCTATTTCACCTTGGATCTAGAATGACATTTTTATGGCAATGTTTGTTATAAGCAATATATTCTGAAGAAATACAGTGACCCTTCAATCTTTGAACATTGTCTTTTTCAATTTGTTTTGCACTGAAATGTTGAAACATTCGAAAGGCCCATTTTTCTTGCAATTTCAAATTCCATTTCATTTCTAACACTTTCTTATTTATCAAATGGAGACCAATGCCGATACAAAGTACATCATCTCTATTTCCGTAGACAGATCAATATCCGATGCTTTTCCTATATCAGACCTTTAGATACAAAATTACCATCATAGTTAATATTATTTTCATAGCGACACAGGGATTTACAGTATACGTTTACATTTATTTTTATTAGAATTTCACATCTATGACGTATCAATATTTAAAATTCATCAGCCAGCGGTTCATTTAGTACCAAAGGTTGAAAAATAGCATGAAAAATAATTGTGTGTATTGAAGTTGTTTTCTACACAGTACACTGTATGATAACTGCCAGGTTATAATGATTGTAAACCTATGAAATTGTGGTTTGTTCTCCTTTCTCCCACTTTTTTCTGATCATATATACAGAACACGGGCCCGTCCTATTGGGTTTGTTGTATTAGGTTTCCTACTTGAATATGACTGAAATAGTGTATCATATACTAAAACAATATTTCTCTTAAACGCATGCAATATCATTGTCCAATCATAATTTTTTCTTTCTATTTATATTAAATTTTAAAGAAAAAAAATGAATGATTCTGGGATATCATATTTTCGATTAAGAAAATGATACATTTCATATGAAATAAAGCTGTTTTGTTTTAAAAAAGAATCACACACACATACACAGGTACATAAGTTAGAAACAGACGTTTCTTTTACAGTATCAGTCGGATCAAAGAAAAAAAAGTTTCTTTTCAGGATGAGCGAAAAATATTATTTCATTAAACGCGAATATCAAATAATTATCAACACACTTGATTTGTATTGATACTGGTTTAAAGTTTGAGGGACGTAACTAAGAGGTGTTGACAGTTGTTTCATTTGAATTTGACAGGTGATAACACGCCATTGACTCCAGGAATGGGTAGCAGTAACCCCAGGTCTGCGTCCTCAACACCCCCTTCCACGTGCACGAAAAGCTCGGGGTATGGCGGTCAACACTTTGGTTGTCAGGGATGTTCCCTGCGCCACCCGTCCGTATACGACAGTCAATTCTCCGGCTTTCTCCGACATCCCTACCTTACCGGTGAGTTGTAGAGATAAGAATCATCCTTCTATTGTCCATCGTTCAGAATGGGCTATTTAATGCAATGCTGTGGTGAAGGAGGGGCGTGAAAAAAGGGAGGGGCGAAGGTTTGCAAATAAGACAAGAGTAAACATTAATTAAAAAATAAAAGGTGCAGATTTCATTCTTTAGTTGCCAGGTGTCGCATGCCTCACAAATTCATGTTTTTCTTCGTTATCATGTTTTAGATATGTATTAAAATCAATAAGTCAACAGAGCGTCCCAAATTTTTACCTGTGATACAGGTACAAGGGTACGCGAGGCGACGAGTTAATTAACACTGCGGTGTAATACCCTCTTTTTCAAATTTTAAGTGGAAAAATGTTATCTTCACAGGAAAACGTATACAAACAGATGTTTCTACTCAAAATTAAAGTTTTGACACATAGAGAAAAAATGCTTCTTATAATCCATGGTGAACCGTAATTTGACATGACCTAATCTTATTCTGCTGGGTTACATACATCGCCTATGCTTGGTCACGCATTTCTCTTAAAACCATTACGATGTATTTTATAAATCGTGTAATGTAAAAGTTGGATCATTATTTTTCAATATATTTAAATGTTATGGCAGATACTGTACGTACATCTCATATAACAATAATACATTTTAAATGTTACTAAATTTAAGCATGGAATAAAGAAAAAAATCTTTAAAGGAGGTGTGTTAATTCATGGTATTGTGTGCGACAAGAGTGATTATATAAGTTGATCAAAGTTGTTTCGTAATTGTTGTAAACTGAGTTAAGTTTATATTGTATCATTAAAAAAACCACCACACCATGTTACATCGTTCTTATGTCGGTACAATTATTGACATGTCATGAGGTTTTGCTGTGGTTTTGATATCATGAACCATAATTATAAACCGATGGATGGGGCTAGGTTTTGCCGAATTATAGATATGATGTCTTCAAATTACCAACGAGTCAAGCAAATGGCTACAAATAGAGTCGCACACGTCGACGTGCGATTGTCACTGTTTATAGTGTTGAAAATAAAAATGCAACTTAGAAAAGGGAGGTAACTTCTATTGAGGGAGATTCGTTTAGGGAAGGGTCGAGGTGTTCATGGTGGGCTAAACACTCATTTGTGAAAATGTTATTTTCCTTAAGTAGTTATTCAAAATGACAGGGAGATATTTTCCCAGACCTCCAACAGGAGATAACGGTTTTCGTTTTAATTTGATATCAAAATGAATGATAGCTATTTAGAAGAAGAAGAAAAAAAACCCATAAAACTATTTTTAAAATTAAAGGCATGCAATGCTCAAAGTTACAAATCCTGCTTCGATTTTATGTGTTTCAACGAACAAAATGTTGGAAATAGTTTAATAGACATATTTTCCACATACAATAAACTTCTTCTATTTCCATCATTCACATTGTTTAGTGTACAATGGATTAAATAGACGTCGCCCAGTACACGCTCGTTAAACACCGAACCACATGCTTTCAGTAGCAGGAGAACTTGCGTCATAATTTCTTAAATAGCTTTTAGCTCAGTTATCTCCCCTGATAATCCAACAGCTGTGCACATGTTAAACTCCCTTGTGATGTATTTGACTTCATGTTTAAATGAAAAATTCAATAAACACTTCCGCCGGTAACAAACAATTATTAATAATCGTATAATTAATTCATAGCCCTAGCTTGATAGTTTATTTTCCTAAAAGTATATTTGATTATGCAAATTAGCTGGTAACATCTTACTGGGTATTTAATTCCAGGTTAGGGCATGTTTACCTTACCGATTACCACATTATGCAATCAGTATATTTATACTCCGGTGTTACAAATGATCCTACCTACTCAGTCAAGCATCTCTCTAGTCCATTTTCTGAACGGTCTTCAAGAGTGTACATGTTGCTCAAAAGATCTTATTAACATCACTTTTTTAAAAATTTATCTATATATCCGTATTATGGATATGACGATTTATGACGTGAGTGACTGGTCGCTGTTGCTATGACAACGCACCACATTAGTTTCGGAGAAAGCTAACAAGGAGCTTCTGAGGGCGAGTTATGTCAAGAGTGACACTTCCGATAGCGGCAAATTTCAAAGAACATTTTATTTCCCAATCATTATGAATATATAGACAAGAAATTTCTCTACTACATGCCTGTGCCACACTTTCACACCAAAGCTGATTATATTTACAGTTAGTAGTAATGCAATATTTGCAATCAACAACTGTCACAATAAAGTGATTTCTTTCCTACATACGTCATTTATCAATACATATAAAACATTGAGATGAATAGTGTGTACCATCTGTACCGATCAAAGTTCATACACAATTGTAAATCTTTGTTACATGATGTCTGAACCGCCGCCAGAAACAACTGTAAAGCTATGTAATGTTTTGATAAATCATTTTATCTTCACTTTATCTAACACATGTGAAATGGCCCATTTACCTTTGCTCTCTCTCTGTACAAAATTTCATATTTACTTTTGCTCTCTCACACACAAACACGTGTACACAATCTCACATTTGCTTTTGCTATTTCTCTCTCTCTCACACACAAACACGTGTACACAATCTCACATTTACTTTTGCTGTCTCTCTCTCTCACACACACACAAACACGTGTACACAGTGTCAAATTTACTTTTGCTCATTCTCACACACAAACACGTGTATATAATCTCACATTTACTTTTGCTCTCTCTTACACACAAACATGTATACACAATCTCACATTTACTTTTGCTCTCTCTCACACACAAACACGTGTAAATAATCTCACATTTACTTTATTTCTCTCGCCCACATGTGTACACAAAGTCACATTTACGTTTACTCTCACACACACGTGCACACAAAATCACATTTACTTTTACTCTCACACACACGTGTACACAATGTTACATTTAGTTTCGCTCTCTCACACGTGTACACAATGTTACATTTAGTTTCGCTCTCACACACACGTGTACACAATACTACATTTAGTTTCGCTCTCTCACACACGTGTACACAATGTTACTTTTAGTTTCGCTCTCTCACACACGTGTACACAATGTTACTTTTAGTTCGCTCTCTCACACACGTGTACACAATGCTACATTTAGTTTCACTCTCTCACACACGTGTACACAATACTACTTCTTTTAGTTTCGCTCTCTCACACACGTGTACACAATGTTACTTTTAGTTTCGCTCTCTCACACACGTGTACACAATGTTACTTTTAGTTTCGCTCTCTCACACACGTGTACACAATTATACATTTAGTTTCACTCTCTCACACACGTGTACACAATGTTACATTTACTTCCTCTCTCTAACACACGTCTGTACAACACACATTTATTTTTATTCCTTGCCCATGCGCAATAATTTTTTCTATATATGCCTTACCATTAGACATTTTGACTGTTATCTACGTGACTGAAATTAATGCATAATGGTATGTTGGAAAAGTCAGACAATAGTCGTGTTAAGAGTAGGTCCGATTGTTTACAACTCTGGTGAAGACCACAGGTGTTGATCGTTTAACACTTGTCCTGGAACTTAAACGCCGGGTATTTACTCGAGCATCGTTAAAATGTTTTGTGATGATTCAGATTGAGACCCATTTATCTAAAGATGGGAATACATAGAGTATCTATATCTCTATTTACCTTATTTTACCTCTTTCCCTTACACCCCCATTAATGCAAATCACTCTTTAAAGTGTCCCCTTCACCCACGGGCTCTGTAATCACGCGCGTGGCGGTTACACTTCAAACAGGGGGCGTGTCTTCCTGCCTTGTTTACACACGTATAAAGCTTATGGTAGACACACCCACTTGTAAGTTCCTTTGACTTTCGGTTCACGTTATTGTCCACCTGTACGTATTACAGGCTAATTGAGTCATTTGTGAATCACTACTTTGCTAAGTAGCTCTTATAAAACATTTTAGTGCGAAAATATTTCAGTTTGTAGTGCACACCGCAACATATATGTGTAGTGTCGGCTAGACGTTTGTAGGGTATTCATGCAGCTGTGTGAATATAATGCATTATGAATAAAAATGTCACTTACAGTGTTAATTTTTAGGCCTCATGACCTTCTTCAAGGGCTAATGTCAATGATAACATAAGCAACGTCCATTTTGGTTTCATTTCTGAAGAAGAGAGATTTCCACCTTTTCAAAAAAAACTAGATGGACGTTACATAGAGCAGTGTTGATGCAAAAATATTGTTAATTGAGTGAAACTTGCTTTTTCATCAATTTTCTTCCTAATGAATAACATTTAATGTATAAAATGCATCAGTTCTTAAACTATAACATCGTTCAATAAGCTGAAGCACATGGAAGACAGGCACTCTAATATCTTCAATGGCTATCATTAGATTTTGCTTTGTTTGTGATTTACCTCCGATTAACAGCTAGGGTCATTTAAAGGCGTGTCAGGTTTTGGTGGTGGAGGAAAGCCGGAATTACCGGAGAAAAACCACCGACCTCCGACCAGTACACCTGGTGACTGCCTCACGTAGGTCTCGAACCAGCGACCCAGTGGTGGAGGGCTAGTGGAAGCAGAATATCAGACGCCTTAACTATGCGATCTTAGAACACTAAGAAAGCCAACATAGATTTTCAAACCACCTCAACAACAAACATTCAAATCTGATGACCTTAATATGGGTGGTTTCGACGTAAATCAGTATTGCGTACACAGTTAATTTCATTTTCTAGTTTCTGTTAATATATTCGAGTTTTGAAAAAGACCTTTAACACTGTTGGGAAGCTTAAGGTCTCTACAATTTTAACTTATATATCCTGTTTTGAAGGAACTGAAAAACAAAGTATACTATAGTAAGACCACGATTTGATGCCCCATCGCTTCATTTGCCAACTCACTGACTGACAATATATATCATGAATCCTTAATTGACATTTGCAGTGGCTTACCGTTGTGACATTCAATAATCTTCTATCTTCACGAGTACATTGTATCTATAGCAGTGTAAGTTGTACTCAATAGTACATCATTTGTGACGATTTTGAGTCTTAATCAAATAATTCATAGAAAGGAACACATTCCCTAATTGAAACCAACGGATCTTCTTCTCATACTTTCGGGTCTTGTTCCCATATTTCGAGTATTGTCTTCTATGACAACACATGACTCGACAGCGCAAGACACGTATATGTGCTTAGCTGAGTAAAATGCAAGTTAAACATCGTTATAATGCTATTCGTTCCATTTGCCACTTCGTTTACCGGCAACTAATTCAAGGACCATTTTACTCTTTTTTCTTGAGATTTTTTAAGCGTTTTTCTCGAGGTATGTTATCATTAACTTTCTTTATGACGAAATGATTTCTCTGGAGATATGGGGGCAATATATCGCGGTGGTGGTATATACTTTTTTTTTTTTTTTTTTTTTTTTTTTTCCATTTTTTTTTTTTTTTCTTTTTTTTTCTCAGAAACATTTCAGTAAGACGTATTTATTTTGAAAGTATTGCAGATGTTTGATTTCATGTCAAACCAATTGAATTCAAAATAATTTAACAATCAAACACGGATTAATAAATCATTAATACATTGCTGACCCAATTACTACAGTTAATACACTCTAATGATGCTTTGCACGAGATTAACCGATCAAAGCCATTAAAATTAATAATAGCGTTACAGATAGTATTTCTGTGTGTGTTTTATTGGTGTTGATTCAATTAACATACCTGCGACATTTACCCGATTTGCATTTTCGGAAAGCATCCGACGAACCTGTCCAGTATCTAGTGCAGAACATACGGAGAAGTATAAAAACCGCAGGAAATACAACAATATATAAGAGATGAAACCTGTAAGGGCAGATCCATGTAGGCGCAAAACCCTTCAACCAACCAACCAACAAAAATATGCACAGGAGCTGTCATAGTCACGTGTACTTTTCACGTGCTTCTGCTAATTAAATATTATTCATCTGGTAAATACGAGACTTTTCAAAACGATACGACAATACCAGCAACGTCAACTGTAATTTATTTACACCTTAATGATACTGAACTGCTAAAATGGACACCGTGCACTGTCTGGAATAAAACTATAATGACATATTCATCGCCTGACTTACAGATGTTCACCTCTCATTAACCATAGACATTTCTATGCTTAGTAGTATAAAATTGCATCTTTATGAAAGTGTCGAGTCACTAAATGGCTGACATTGATTTCACCACATACCGTTTTTTTCAGTTGTAATCCGATATGTCTCGTTGTAACAGCGTTAATAACGCTCTATGTGATATAACGCCACATGGGTTAGCCATATTGATTATAATTGTGATGATGTGCTGAAAACTGTACCTACCTACGTGTACTAGTGTGGAATTAGAACTATTTTTTCCTGTTGTTTAAATAAAATAGATTTTTTAATATGCAGTTTCCATGTGATGCTGAAAGATAAATGCAAGACGGACACATTCAATTTAGAGTTGTAATCAAATATGACCAGTTTTAACTGTATTAACAATGGTCTATATCATCAACACCATGTGGTCAAGCCGTACTAATAGTACAATGTACATTGAGATTGCGTTGATGTGTTTTACAAACTTTACCTACATGCACCTACCTGTGGGATAAGAATTTGTGCCTGATGTTGCCCAAAGAAACATTTAATATGCAGTTTCCATGTGATGTAAAAAGATAAACTTTAGACACACGTATGTGATCGCTCCTTTAAAATCTGATGATAGATAAAGTATGCCCAACATGAACTACACTACACCATACAAGTGTTTCGTCCTTCTATGGAGAGGTGATGCTTGGGACAAAACAAGGGTTGAAATCTAAATCGACCTAAATGACTTTTGAAACAGGAGGGGAGGTGGATGAAACCTTATAATTCCATGACTTTCAAACTTATAAGAGTACTAGTTAATTTGAAATTATCAATACGTAAAATGTGTATATTATGAACCGTGCCGCTACCCAAAAGAAAAATCATGGTGGCCATCAAACACATGGCTATGCACGTATTTTTCACAAGATTGAATATGCTAAAAGAATCCATTATGCATTTATTTGTATCAGTTAGGTTATCTTTCATGTGCTTGCATATCTCACATTTGGTGATGATTATATAGTACATTTCGTATCGACGTTTGTTTTGATAAAAAAACACCAACCATCATTTCACACAAAGATTTGGCATACTTCCGGTGTCTACAACACTGGATTACGTGAACGAGATACAGAATAACAGCTTTATGATGCAGTATAATTTATTTTTGCCATATTTCATCTATCACAAATTGTAAAAGTACAATCACCTAAGTGTGTGTTAAGTTCATCTTTATGAATATTCATTGAGAAGCCAGAAGACATGTGTATCAACATATACACGCTTTGTTAATGTTAATTAACAAACAAAATTACATGCAGGTGTATTTGTGGTAAGAACTTGTCAAAAGCATCGACACATTTGGCTTTAATTCTGCTTTGTTAATTTAAGGATTCTCGTTCTTCTGCCAAAATTGTAACCATGCATAATGTATTAGACACGGGTTTTCCAGCATAACTATAGCTTTGATGAATCATTGTTTGAAAAGAAACCCATTCTTTGCAGGAATGTTTTGAAAGAGAACAAACGTGAAATATACTTAACAAAACCAACAGCAGTGTTCTGAGAGTACAAAGCTCAGCGAGACTAGACCGGGATTTGAAAACAGAACCTCAGATTGTTATTCTGTCGCCCTGACCGACAAACCTCCCATTAACTTCCGTTCAGATGTAACTGTAGAAAAAGATGGGCCAGGACACTTACATTGACCAGAAATCGTTATAGGTCAGAGCGATAGTTTACAGTAACAATCTGAGGTCCAGAGTTCGAATCTCACCCAGCACCACTGATTTGTAACACTCAGGACACTGCTGTTGATCATATTCTATTTTCATCATTATTTGTCATACAAGTCCCGCAATGTATGGTTTTCTTTTCAGAAGAGTTTTTTTTAACCCTTTCACCACTGTAGACCATAATAGACTCATCCATATCAATGCATTGTAGAGTCTACTGAAGTTACATAGGGGTGAAAGAGTTAAAGATATAGTCATGCAAGTTTCCAACACTTATTCACAGTTTTTGGTAATGACACAGTGATCGCGAAGACATTCTTATGTAACGAAAGGCATTCATTTCTTACTGACGCCGATGTTGTGGTTGAGGTTGCAACACATACACAGAACAGAGATAAAAAATTGATGTTGTTTTTGTTTTAGTTTAATCGATATTTTTCGTAGTTGCAGTAATTAACAGCTTAATATATAACGTTGAATTGTTTTGATTTGTTTTCAGATATTCTGCAGCGAATTTCAACATACGCTATTGTGTTTCATGTGTGAATTATTTTTATTGTAATCAAGCAGATTCACATTATCTTTAATGCTATCTAGTCCATCGATAACCTGAGAATATGCATAGAGGATAAGTACATTTAATTAATTATGTCACTGCCGTGCTCACATATGTCCCCGAAGTCACTGTAAACCTAATACATGTGATCGTTTTATCAGCATAAATTGTAGAAACTCCATTTCTATACATGTTTTGAGGTACACTGTATTGAGTATTCTTTTTTATTTCTTTGTACATATTCAATGTAATATTCAGCATTTATCGTTTAGATTTAAGCGTCTATATTATGAGATTATATTAATCCATGGGCCGAAATTACTCAAATCATCTGGGCTGAAAATACAATATTAAAAAATAAATAAATGAATAATATTCTAAACATGTTTGGCTGGCGTACTATCAGCGAATTTTTAAGATTTATTTCAACAGCAACACCATGACTATAGCTTACAATACGTTGCAACTTACATCTGTTTTGTTTCAAAAGTGTATAATAATTACATGATACAACTTTGATTAAAGCAAATGATATGAGATTATATATATAGTTAAATCGTTAAATTCTAAAATTATCAATATATAAGTAAACAAAAATCAATTAAAAAAAAAAAAAAACATCATAAAATGAACCCCTACAAGATCAGTGTTTTTCATTTGTGTCCTTTTCTTTGACAAAAGTCCACAAATGCCTCTATCTCTTTACTTTGATCTAATTTTGCTTACGGCCATGTTTCTAAAGAAAGCCCGTTGTATGAACTTATCAGGTGGAAAGTCATATTACAGTGTCCGGGTAATGGTATTTCAGTGAGATTGCACTTATTGACCATTGTGAGGCTCCATTTTCTGCAGAAATTGTCTTTTTATAACCTGCAAACCTTCCGAGAACTCAAGACCCAACGCAAACATTTTAATTATAATTCATATACAATGTATCAAAGTCATATGATAACACTCTAATACATGTGTACATGACAATGGATAGTCACTACAAAATTCTTTTATTAACCTCAAATATTATTGTTTTTGTAGCTCCTCCACTCCTTCCGGTGCCCAACGCCTTTTCTTTTCTGACAAACATGCGAGGGAAACCACGGAGAGGAATGTTACGGAGAGCTGTGTTCTCAGACATGCAGAGGAAGGGACTGGAGAAAATGTTCCAGAAACAGAAGTATATCAGCAAACCCGACAGGAAAAAGTTAGCGGCAAAACTTGGACTTAAAGATTCACAGGTAACAATTCTATTGGAAACAAACAGGAAATAACAATCCAACTAATTTGCATTAAAGTAATCCTCAAATGGCCCATTTCCACAAGACGAATTCACATTGTCAAATAGCAGATTTTTTTTTTTTTTTGCGAGACAATAGAAGCAAAAATAAGTAGAAATGAAAACGTAAAACAACTTGTACGATGTGCAACCACACAGCATACATTTTGATTGTGACCGCGTCACTAACGTACATGTACACTCAGGAAGTATAACAACATTCTGGTTAAGACCGTCACTAACGTACATGTACACTCAGGTAGTATAATTAACATTCTGGTTAAGACCGTCACTTATACATTTTTGAATGAGACCATCACTGATGTTGTATACCGTAATTTTAACTAAAAGCACATTTTTAATATACAGTTCATATATATATATGCATATAAATTTTCTACTTTTTCTGTAATTTAAAAAAACAAAAAGAAAGTAACAAAAAACAAAACTCATCAATTCTTTAGCAATAAACACTCAATGCATGCTGACAAGCTTCATTTGTTATATAATTAACATTAAGAGGTGTTCTGTCTTTTGCTTCGACGGCATCAGATCCCATATGATATAAAATATGTATATCTTGCAGCTTCATCAAATGTCAGCGTAAAGAGATAACAAGAATATTCCAATAAACAAGCATTAAAACCTCAACATAATGGTCCTCGTCCCATTTGCCACCTCGCTTACCACCAATATATTTCAACGTTTTTTTCCCCTTTTATTGAAGAATTCCTTTATACCGTTCCCTCAGGTTATCGCCAATACCCTTTATAACTCCAAGTTTTGTTATGGAAAAATAGTGGAAGTGTAACAACATTTTACTGTATATCAAACTTGTTACATAAAATCGTGTTCTACTAGCCAAAACACTAAAGGCATTTGAGGTGATCCACTTTGTTTTTATAAAATGCCATACAATAATTTAGATTGTTTTAAAAATAGTTAATAATGCTTATCAACTCACTTCAGAGGAAACAAAACATTTTGTCTAATAGATTGTATAAGTCAATAATATCATAGCATTCCCTCTGATTGCGATATTCAGCCACGAGATTGTAATGTTTATTGACGCTTATAGACCAACTTTTATTTCAATACTATTTATTGTGAATTTTTATAAAACGACTTAAAATATTTGCAAAGAATTGAATCGAATTGCCTGCCATATTGAGGCACTGCGACATGCCAATAATTACATAAATAGTTTTGTTATTATTAAAAAAAAAAAAAAAAATCATCACCATCTTCATTAAAAATAACTCCAATAGTTGAGAAGGAATATTGTATTTTAATCGATTTCTCTTCCACACGTTTTCTTTATTTTTTGTTCTGAGTCTTATAGTAAAATATTCCTGTAAGCTACCGTTAGACTTTCACACTTCAAGTTGCTACTTTCCACCAAATCCGAGATTGTTTCTGGTGCCCCCGTAGGACGGAATGCGCTTGTTACAACCACAATAAGCAATAACATTTATGTCACTTCCAGTTAGAGTCGCTGAGAGGTTTATGAAATCAAAACTGTTAATTAATACCCATTTTGGCGCCGTGCCTTCGGTACGCATGTAATACAGTGTCAACTACAGATGTTAGATATTGCCCTATAAGTGCCTTTAAGTTAAATAGAATAATTCTTCTTTTCGATCGAATGCTCTTGCAAATATTGTTTCGCAGTTTGGCGCATTTCCTTGTGCGACTCGAGACGGGCTTATACATTCAGATGTCATTTGCGGGAGTTTGATTAGAACAATTTAACCAAACGGTGAATTCGTAAGGGAAGGAGAACAGAAATCGATGGTGAATATATCTTGCGGGGCAACCCGTCCTCAGTCAGTGAACAGCTGTGGCTGACGTGCGAAAAGAGATAGCGAGTAATAAGAAAGCAAATTAAATACTTGGATAATGAAAATCGCCCGGTAATGGAGACTCTATTCTATTATCAATGCGACGACTTTGTTCATCTTAAGCGGCGATATATTCGTCGATATGACTGTTAAACAGAGACAGTTCAATAGCATGTGTCGAGGGACACCGTTTTCTCTCTGATATATTTCACATCCATTTCATAAAACATCCCGTGTATTATTTGATTTCTTAGAAAATGTGTAGTGTTTATGTGGAGAATGATCGATTTTGATTACAGCGTGTTCACGATTTGATACTGGGTCAATACACAGCCAAACGTTACATTTGTAGTCTTGTAACTATTTGCCTACGAATGTAAATATTTTGTTACGAAGCTGTTCTATCGTTGCATCATATCGGAACACGATAAAATAGGAGGACATCTCGTGGTTACGGAAAATTAACGATTTTCGCATTAATATCGTAATATTTACGCATGACATTCAGAAAAAAAAACATTTTTGAATCTATTGATATACACGTACAGTATTAAAACAATACTAACACCTACAAGTCAATGTATCACCAAAATACACTATTGAATACATGTACAGCTATACTTAAAACTGTTGAATATATAAATGGCATAAAATGATATACTTTTCGATTCACCACTTAGGTATAGTATCAAAAACACTTTTAACATGTAATTAGTTGTTTACCGTTTGGCTTTCTGAAACAACTTAATACATTCAATATTGGCGTTTCTTCACTTCGTATTTTTAGAGATTACTATACACTATCGCATGGCGAAACTATCATTTGTATACTCCCTTGAATACTAGTTCATCAATCATACATTGTATAAGTATTGAAAGACGATTACTGTAATTAAAATACACCATTGAATAACCATAAAATATAACTTACAAATTCCCGGAATCTGATTGGCTGATACATGCTTTTACACGCATCCACAGATGACGATACAATATTCACCGTCGAACACATTATTAATATAATTGTATTTCGCTGAAATTTGTCAATGATATATATTATTCAATAATTTTAAGTAACATAATCAAAAGACACTACTGAATATACCATTTATATTACAATGTACTGTTCTATACAACATTTACCATATACAATTGAATACACAAATATCATCCGCATACTTTTATATCACATCCATGTTATAAAAGTTTCTACCATATTATCATCCACAATCATTTACGTATTACGTATTATCATAACCTTTGAGATACCCTTTTATGTAACGTACTTTATGATAATTCGTGTCAACACATATTGCTGTCAGTATAGTTTATTTATACATATTTATTAATTAATTTATTAATTAATTAATTTATTGTCTTAATTACAAGTAAACTACGATTTTATTGATATTTCAGGTGAAAATATGGTTTCAAAACAGACGAATGAAATGGAGGAACTCCAAGGAAAGAGAACTTTTGTCGTCCGGTGGATCACGTGACTCGACACTTCCTACTAAGGACGATGAGACAGACTCTCAGTTCGACCAACCGTCAAAAGACGACGACGACGATGAACTAATGAACGAGTCGTTGAATACCGATAATAACAGTGCTTTGGACTTATCATCAGACATTCCGAAGAGAGAGGACGGGAGCGATGTGGTAGATTCGTCTGACGACGACGATGGTTTAATAGACGTGTCATAACGACTGGTGCGTGTTCCGTATACAATGTGACGACAAGTGTAACTGTAACTGCATTGCAATGATGTCAGTTGTACCATTTTAATGGTGTCAGATTTTAACATTGTAACGATGTCTGATATAACATCGTCATGATGTCAGATGTTACGTCGTATTTATTTCAGACGAAATATCGTTTGATGTCAGATGTTACATCGTATTTATGTCAGACGAAATATCGTTTGATGTCAGATGTTACATCGTCATGATGTCATGATCAGATGTTACAGCATAATGATGCCAGGTTTAACATCGTCATGATATCCGATATAACATCGTTACACATATTGCTAGTCCGATTAATATATACCTGTATGATAAATGTATAAAGTATTGATGTATCTATTTGACTTCTTCAGGCATACCGGTCGTATAGCAAGATCGCTGTAACGCATTGGATTTGAAATATGGAAATATATCATAAATCAAGATACGAAACTAGGAGATATTTATGATTTTGTATATATTTAAATATCTAATTATGACACACACGTATACTATATATCAGAACAACGGACACATTTGTCTTCACACTACAGTCAAATCAACATTAGACTTTTCCCCATACCATTCGTGTTACTTCTACCATGGTGAGCTCCATACACAACTCACGTTACATATTGCAATATCATAAAACTTGGCTGAATAGACAAAAGGTCACGCGTGATATATATATCACGTATTCCCTGGTAATATTAGTATTAATCGTACCTAATCGCATGATACGTATACCGGTGTTTGATACTTACCATTTACCAAGGCTGACACAAATATTCCGGAAAAAACGATATATCGCAATACAAAGACATATCGTATCGTACATGTAACGCAATATAGAAATAAAATTTTGCCAAACAGTAATATTTTTAAAAGTTGAATTTTACGCATGTGCAAGGTGTTTTTACTTTTCAAAATATTTCCCATTCTAACAGATATGCCAATAACCATTAACAGGGTATTGTGATTGGAATCTGATGAAATTTCATAATTTATTGTTAGTAAAATCTGTGTGATCCATTTGATATATGTTTCAGTTTGATAACAATTGACAAAAACTTATTTTCAAATAGAGCACCATTTTTCTCTGACAATGTATCGGGATACGTATCACAATACATTCCTACTGTATTGCAATATATCGTGATATACTCCTGGCGTATTGTGACACCCCTACAACTAAAATGTATTTACATTGTATGTACCGGCACACCTTCATTAAACAGTAATATAACTATAAACAAAATACAACAAGTCATTTCAGTTTAATTCATAATATACCGGTGAAAGTATCACCCATTAAACGTAGAAATTACAAAATGTAATATACACAGTGAAATATATTCATATATATTTTAATTGTCTGCCAAAAAGCCAAACATAACTCATGTAAGGTCTGCAGCATTACCTGATAACAAGTAATTTTAGAACAGCAATTATTTTGTTTAGATTAATAGTTCTAGTTCATGTTTAAACCAGGTATTTATCAGTTTAAATATATTTTCATTTTTTTTCATGAATTGAATAAATCCACGTTCATATATATTAATATTGATTTAGAAATAAACACTTTTGTCGATAATTCTAATTAAGCTGTATGTATACATATATGCGTCACTGGGCAAAGATCAATATCATTATTTGTGTTTTATTGCTGTTAATTCAATTTAATTGTGATATTTCTATCACAACGAGCCATCTGTTGCCAATGTACTTTACGTTATTTCAACGACTCTATCAGGTTATAAAAATAATTCATCCTACTATACAAAGCTATGCGTCGTCCTATTAAAATAACACAGGCTGCTTCAGCATCAGTGTGGGGCAATTAATCGAAATATGAAATTAATCTTTTTGGACAACACAATAACATCATCAATGATATATGTATTAAATATAATATTATGTTGTAATCCTTACCATATACATATTACCATTAAAAACAAAAGGCTCCCTAGGATGAAATCTCTGCTCCGTATAAACATATTCGTACTGGACAAGTGGAAATTAAATTGTCGCGATGGTAGTAGTGATCGCGTTTTTATCGCGTTGGAAAATTATCTCGAAAATATTTTCACGAATATATATGTTGATACTATATAGGTTATAGATATATATAAATATCTATAAAATATCTATATAGTCCGTTATTCATTTTCATTCTGCGAGCTGTTTAGAGGGACAAACCGCGAATAGTTCGCCAACGCGACAATTTCCACTTTTGCAGTATTTGAGAGAGAATTATAACAAATCTTCAGAAAGTGCTGTTTAAAAATTACATATATGATAGTTAAAATTGTGATTTATTTATATGATGCATATCTGGGGTTATTCATTTACGAGTTCAATTTATAGTATATAATAAATGGTTGTCTGTCATGATATTTATCAAACGAACGTTAGGTTAGTGGGCGAATGTTATTTTGCAGAAGATTATAGTTAGGATTAGCTTGTCAGAATATTCCATTACGTTTATTTCTTACCAATTTTTTGTCATTACATAATGTATAAGAATTTGATACGTATGAATATTGATGGTGCATTATGTCCATGAACCTGATATCAGGTACTGTCCTTGTCCGGGCCAAAACGATTCATGAAGTCCTACTTAGGAAGGCAGAAAGCATTTAACACATACATCATCATTGATATAATTGATTTTCCCCAGAACTACTTATACATGTATGCTATTTATTTGCTGAAGAATGAAAATGTAAAGTAAACTATTACATTTCGTCGTTATACATGTTTTGTATATGTTATTGTTCGAGCGTCGAGCCCCGATTTAGTAATCAGCATTGTGACGTAAGAGAGACCATTAAATCCTTATTAAATCAACGATTTGTTTTTGTTTTTATTCGATAAGAAAAATATTACAAGGGAAACGAATCAGTTTATGACTTGATACATTATTGGGATATTGACAAAGACTGTAATTGTTAAAATATTTGCGGTATGGAAATACTTGCGATTTTCGTGTGGAGTAAATGAGCGCGAGAATATCCATATATCCATACATATATTACATTATATTTTGTATATGTATATTTCAAAGATAAATATAGTACACTGTATATATATTTCGGTTTCTACTGAAAACATTATTTAATTTGTTTTTCATTTCAAAATTCGAACCACTTGTAATTATTTGAAGCTTTAAATTCACTGTGTCGATCTGTTTATTTAGCTCATACACATTGCTATGAGGAACTGAATATATGAAACTTGATAAAAATATGAAGGTAACACAAACACCGGCGATTGTACCTTTAACATGTGGTGATACATGTAGATGGAGTATGCCAAAAATGAATTACACTGCATCATACAGCTGTTTTGTCCTTCTAGGACTCATCTCATCAGTAATGCTAGGGGCCAAAAAGATGGAATTCAAAATTGTCTAAACTTTTGTGAAACAGAGGAGCAGACGCACAAAACCTCTTCGTTTGTGCTATTACATTTTGTGCTAAAATGTTGTTTTACAATCGTAGTGCTTAACACAGCGGCGAGCGGAGGTATACATGGTGATTGTTGTCAATCTGTTTACCTCACAAAGCTGAGGTGGCTTTTGCAGGTTTCCCTCCGGCCACAAGCTCAGTGTCCTGTAAAAGTAGAGCCAGCTGACGGTGAATTGTTCTAGTCTACACCTTATATCAATACTTATCTAAAGTATTTGTCGAAACTCGTTTACAGACATAAAAAGCAATACATTTAAAGTTTATCGGAGTATTTTAAATGGCGTTTAAAGTCAATGAAATGATAAACAAACATAGCGTTAGTATCCTTTGAATCGTAAAACGTTATGGGGAAGCTAACCTCAGAGTTGTTGACAAATCTGATCAAAAAGGTAAGCGTGTCCACAAAGTTCCTTTTATATCCCAATGTACTTCAGGGAAGAAACCACATATCTTTGTTATTGAAGTAGCTAATTAAGATGATATTTCACCCCCTAAGAATTATTGAAATTCCACGTGGCGAAATTCTTTGGGGAATAGGTGAACCAGAGGTAGAGGTATTATGGGTTAAAACAACAAACAATCTTCTGGTGATAGAAAATAAAAACTGAAAAATACGTACATTGTACATGTATATGGAAGCTTCTGGAACCGAATTGAGCAACTGATGATGAAACTACATTTCTAGCTCTTGTCACATTGCACGCCAGCCATTTTGTATCGCTTTATGTATTCATTTGTAAAAATAAGTTAAACTGGGTATAATTTTTGAGAAGACTTAATGAAATATTGTGACTAGATTCCAACTTTATCATTCCAAAATTATATTTACAATAATACACAATGACGTTTTTCATATAAACCAATGTTACACCATAACGCAATGATACCTATCACATACAAAATCCCATGTCACGCATCACATACATACACTTTTTATACAGTATAAACAATGACATGCATAAGTCAATTTAACCCAACTCAATGTGTCCATCAAATAAATACAAGTTAAACTTACTTTTACCAACTATATACTTAAAAACTATTTCACCGCTTACAATGCGTAATTCATTACTCAATTTCTCCTACCGCCACAATATCTTCCTCACCCCGACACATTGCATTAACATACTAGAGTTGGTAAAAGTTTTGTTATACCCACTTGTGGGTACATGTAAGACACTGGACGTGATTAATTGTTCAAATTACTTATTATTACATCAAGTAACAATGCATCGCGACGTCATCTTCAATGATGACGGCATAGTTCCTGGCGATTGTTTCTGCGATCGGAAACAGGAATAATGTCTCCACAAGAAAAAATATGGTTTTCTATACATAATATATAAACGTTGCGGGAGAAAAAGGTCCCCAAACTTGTGATGGTTGATTATCATGTTCACCTTTCACTCGTTTGTAATTTTTGAACTTTAAAGACACTCGCTTAACATCTTGTCTTTTAACAGTTTGACAATTAGCTAACAAGAGTTACACAAACATGATAACCAACCACAGCTCGTTAGGGAATCTCTATGTCACCTATAACATTAAACTCAATGTCAATCATCACACATATAACTCAATATACTCTTTAACATAAAACTCAATGTCAATCATCACACATAAGACTCAATGTCAATCATTATATACAAAACTCAATAACACATTTAACATAAAACTCAATGTCAATCATCACACATATAACTCAATATACTCTTTTACATAAAACTCAATGTCAATCATCACACATAAACCTCAATGTCAATCATTACATACAAAACTCAATATCACATTTAACATAAAACTCAATGTCAATCATCACACATAACACTCAATGTCAATCATCACATACAAAAATCAATAACATCTATAATCTAAAACTCAATGTTCAGTGATTTACCACAATGGTCCAAAGATACATTGTACACTGCGAGAACATTCCATCTTTAACCGCCGTAGTTTTAGACAAAATAAATATACATGTTAAATGCCTCAATATGGGAGCATCTATATGCCTTGCAGTTTTGATTAATAAACGAATCATTTGCTTTGTTTTCCCACATCAATCAAAACATATATGCGGTTTCTGTTACATAATGCAGGTTTGATCCATATATCCAATAACGCAAAAAACAATCAATAGATGCAGTGTGAAAGTATATCGACCGTATTTTACCACAAAAAATCTCCCACTTCTAGCGAAAAGAATATTGGCCAAAAGCTGAGAGAAGGAATGATTGCGAGCCTCCTGTTAAAAACAGGATGTTTGAGGAAATCCATCAAAATTTGAGACGTACCTCAAATATGGATTTCATTTTAGAGTTTATTCATCTATAACTGAATGTTCTGAGATAATACTTTAATACTTTGCACGTACATTTATCCTTTTGTTTTCATGACCTTTTTTGGTGAGTGTTATATGAAATTAGAATACAGTGTCAGGGGAAAACTTAACAGGCACTGTGCAAACGATATAAATTTAGAATTTGTTCAATCTAAGATGCAGATGATTCTCATGTTTGAAAGGTGTTTAAAGTTGATAATCACTTGAAATACGAAAAAAAGCAACCTATATGAAAATATTGTTTGCATAATTTGTTACAAAACAATTCTTAGATGCAGCATTTTATGTAAATTAAGCTAAAAGACTACGGCTATGGTCAACCACTTTTTTTGCGTAAAATGATCAATAGTAATATGGAGAAAGAAAACACCTATTTGAAAATATTGTTTGTAACTGTTTGATGCAAAAAGCCAAATAAAGTAAATATTTTCCGGAAACCGGATCTAACAGGAAAACCATTTTTCACTACAAGACCGTGATAACACGAGTGCGAAATAAATGTATATGAAATAAAAAAATATATATATACATTTTGAGAAATAAGGAAAAGGAGGAAAAAATTGTATTGTGAGTTGTAGCTGGGGCAGCTCATCCCCAGACAAGCCACGAATGATGTATATATGCCTGAGTTATTAAGTATATTTTACGAAAAACTTTAATTTGCATTAAATATTGTGCTTTCAGTGATTTTTCTACATTTAACACTAACTATTCAGTGGTCTGAAGTGGCTTACACATTTCGAGGTTTCACGACTCCGCAGATTTATTGTACTATGTATTTAAATACGCTTTAAACTTTTATTTCCCAGCCATAATAAAATTGGTTTAAATATACATTGTTACCGCAGGCGTTTATATAAAAGCTTTATCTTATTATATTACGGTCATTTAAGATAATGCTTTCAGAAGGGATTGGATCGTTTTACCATTGCTCTGTTAAAAGTGCTTAATACATCGGGGATTTATTCAACAAGGTATCAAAAAGGACTTCAGATTATGTTAAGATAATCAGCTACCGATCCCAAACGAAAACTACATATAACATGTTTAAAGAAGGGATTTTCCTATAGAAAACAACTCATGAAAGAAAAAAGCAAATAATTGATGAATTTGTTTTACTAAGTGGGAGGACTCTAAACTGGTCATGTTTTCTTTCGGTGAATGGTCATTTGAATTTTAAAGAAAATGACTTGAGGGAACGATTTCAAGACGTCTAAGGTCCAGTTTAAATAAAAGATAAAATAGCGAGGTAAAGAAAACATAATTGAATGTTATCAATAGAAATTATTAACTAAATAATATATAAAGCACCAAATCATGTTTTTGATATATTGATTTTGTGTACAATTTTCGAAACCTGATTTATTATTGGTTTTATCGTGTAGTTGATAAGAACATTATTTGCACAAAGCGCGTGGAATTATAAGTGAGATCCTTGGGTCAAAGGTACATGTACTAGGCATTGCTATTTTAAACACCTTTATTTACATAACATACCTTGATTATTCACACATAGATAAACTGTATAGGCAACATTGTACAAAACAATTCTAAACATTGTCCTTGTTTGTTAACTGTTACAACTAGTAACTGTTAACTGATTGTTTTTAACTTGTTAACTGTTAGAACTAGTAACTGCTAGTTGATTGTTTTTAAAATAACTGTTAGAACTAGTAACTGTTAGTTGATTGTTTTTAACTTGTTAACTGCTAGAACTAGTAACTGTTAGAACTAGTAACTGCTAGTTGATTGTTTTTAACTTGTTAACTATTAGAACAAGTAACTGTTAGTTAATTGTTTTTAACTTGTTAACTGTTAGAACTAGTAAATGTTAGTTGATTGTTTTTAACTTGTTAACTGTTAGAACTAGTAGCTGTTAGTTGATTGTTTTTAACTTCTTAACTGTTAGTAATAGTAACTGCTAGTTGATTGTTTTAAACTTGTTAACTGTTAGAACTAGTAACTGTAAGTTGATTGTTTTTAACTTGTTAACTCTTAGAACTAGTATTGTTAGTTTGTTGTTTTTAACTTGT